TGATCAGCTGGTTCTGGTTGTCAGCAGCAAACTGGTTGATCCACTCTGAGAAGGTGCTATTTAAGAGACTGAGCTGAATACAGCACCTCAGACTGAGGAAGTCTCTCGGATGAGAGACGAAACGTTTCTACATTTTTTTTTTGTTTGTTTTTTTTGTTTGTTTTTTTGTTTTTTTTGAATGTCCAGAGGACCAGATTTAACTTTTTTAGATTTTTCTACCTGGATTATTGAGCATGCATCAGGAAATCCAGGTAGATAATCTAACCAGGTTCAGTCAGGTCTTCTGAACACATTCTTCTTATTTTACATGTTTTGTCTTTTATTCAAAAGTCTTCTTCAGTCTGAGGAGGAGGAGCTAAAAACTGTGTCAATGAGGACTCATCAACCAGTTCCTGCTGGTCAGAACCAGTAGTCACCAGTAAAAGGAGGAGCATCAACCAACAACTGATCATAAGAACTCTGTCTGATATTCAGCGGGGGATGATTCTATTAATAATCTACATATTCTAGGAGAGGAGTTGAGAGCATGTATATAATGTGTGTTTGTGAAGAGAATCCGTCCGTCTTTAAACAGGGCGGGGTCTCATGTTCAACACCTCCTGTTACTTCATCTCTCTGTGAACAACAAGCAGCCAGCAGGACGTGAAAGACCAGATGTTGCACTGATGTTCTCCTTGAACATGTTTCCTACCAATATCACACACATGAAGACTTATGATGTCAATCAATTTGTAGAGTGAGATAACACACATTTACAAGAATCTAATAATTATTTTACATGAATTTATCTTTATTTTTTTATTTTGCAGCAGCTGAATGTACGCAGCTCAAAACTTTGTTTTCTGTAACTACAAACATTAATATTATAAAACACTCAATATTTCATCCACGAAAAACTAGTCAGTCTTAGAGCTGCCAGCCTCAAATACACACATATCTCATTTAAATTATTTTATCCATCCATCCATTCATCCATACATACATACATTCATCCATACATACATACATTCATCCATACATACATGCATACATACATACATACATCCATACATACATCCATTCATCCTTCCATCCATCCATCCATCCATCCATTCATCCATTCATCCATTCATCCATACATCCTTCCATCCATACATACATCCATCCATACATACATACATCCATACATACATACATTCATCCATACATACATACATCCATCCATACATACATCCATTCATCCTTCCATCCATCCATCCATCCATCCATCCATTCATCCATTCATCCATTCATCCATACATCCTTCCATCCATACATACATCCATCCATACATACATACATTACATACATACATACATACATATATGGCCCAGCACAGAAGATCAACATCATCAGGCCA